ACCTTCTCTGGGAGGTTGCTCAGTGCACCCAATGTGAGAGCTGTTCGCACAATATGGGACGGAATTGGCTGTAGGCTGCAGTCTCCCTCTGCGTGCGTGTGTGTGTGTGTCCACGTGTACTACGGTGAAACTACACCAAGTCACGTTCTTAGCACATCGACAATCAACTTTCACACTTCATGTCTTGTGCTTATGCAGTGTGAAAGAACCTACAGTGCTGCTCAATGAAATCCAGTCGAGTCACTCACGTACGTGCTGGGCGTTGCCCTAGACCTGCGAACATTGGGCTGCGAAATGGTGCAAGGCGCAAACTTGACTCACGCGACCGGATTTCATTGAGCAGCACTGTACTTTAAAGTGCTTTGCTGTGACTTTGTCACTTTCTGGTTAGCTGTGACTTTGTCACTTTCTGGTTAGCTGTGATTTTGTCACTTTCTGGGTAGCTGTGTATGCTGTGCACAACCGGATTTCATTGAGCAGCATTGTATGGTTTTGTCACTTTCTGGGTAGCTGTGTGCACATCACCTCAAGCTTTGATTTTCATCACCTCGAGCTTTGATTTTCATCACCTGGAATTGAAACAAAACTGCGTCGCTTCCTTTGTCCTGCTTTCTTTATCTGATGCAACGTTGGTGATGGATGAGGACAGAGAGCTCTGTGACTAGAGGCAGGTGTTTGGTGGACGTGGACCGTGTGACTTGCCTTTGCCCTTGCTATAGTCTCCTTAAAGTCATCGGAATCCACTCTCTCAGTCTCTCTGTGCTCGCACTGCTAGGCTATGCTGTGGATGTACTCCGCAATGCTGATTGCTCTGTGAGTACCAGTTCATGGTGTTCTTCTCTTGTCCTGTCCAGCACGCCAGAGTATCACCCGAACACCGGTCACCTGTCACAGCTGCAGTCGGGCATCCACCAACGTCATGCCACCATCCTGAATGCTTCGCCGGCCTACCTCTCTCCACTGCTGGCCAGTGATGAGATGCTGCACAGCTTACCATCGGTTGCATTGCTGGTAAGCCACTATAGCACACATGGCAGTACGGTATGAGCTATGCATTCACATACCAGTAGCTGAGGAGTGCTAATTCCGTACTTATCGTATTGACAAACTGGCCTATTGATCAGGAACTGTCCGCAAATACACCCCTGTCCAAAACTCTTTCGAGAAGGAACCTTTCCGATGCCCCGGAAAACCCAAGCACTGCTATACCACACGTAGGTGTGTGAATTGTGACTAGATGCAATAGTCATGTACATGTAACTAAGTTAGGCAACCTTACAACATGTGCAATGTTGGAAGTGTGTTTCACCAAAAAGGAGACCAAGAGTAGAGAGTCTTCTGTGTAGTCTCTACATGTGACATGATGAGCATGTAAACAACCTAATTCTGAAGTACAGTCATGCACATGTACGTACTTCACAGGATCTGCTGGAGCCACAGAGTCAGAGGTCAGCAATGTTGTGACAGGCCCTGGCCTGTAGCTCTGGGTCTGGGTGTGATGTACAGTCAGATTTCGCTTATCCGGATCCCTCGCGACCCGGAAGAAAATAGCTGGCTACAGATTTACAGCATACGTGATGCATCCAATGTAACCGGTGTTCGGTTATCCAGTTCCCTCGCCTATCCGGATATTTTTGTGGAAAACGGATGTGTGCGGTTAAGCGAGGTCTGACTGTACTGTTAGCATTTTCAAGCCTTACTGATCAATGCAAGGAGCAGTCTGTGTGTAATGAGTAGCTATGTCTGGAGCAGCTAGTCTGTGTGTAATGAGTAGCTGGCCATGTGAGTTCCATAGAAAATCGATTGTGCCTGAGACATATTGCGTGTCTGGGAAGGGGTGTTAATAGAGAGGTTAAGCTTTACGTGACACGAAAGTTCAGCTCGCGCGTTGGAAAACAACGCAAGTGACCTGCAGCTCACGTCGAAATTTGGAGGTTTACGCCTAATTTGACGTGATATTGCGCATCACGTCAGAAATAACGTGCAGCTTAACCTCTCTCTAATAGTCAGTCATGTGAAGTGTGCACAGAGCACCTTGGTAAGCACATAATTATAGATCATCTACATGTATGTGCTGGACCCTGCTAGGAATGGGAAGGTGGGTTACTAGCACCCCTTCCACAGAGAGTAGTGTGCAGTATGAGCTGATAGAACTTCCATGACAGCGACCTCCATCGGAGAAGGACCCCTGCTGTCTAGTGGAAGAGTTGCCTGAGGCTCAGCCGTACTTCTTATCGGTATCTTTCAGTACAAGAACATTTCAAAATGCTACATTATTGTGCTCCTTTGTGGGTGTTCAAGTAAGAAAGCTATGTTTCTTTGCCGATAGATTTCTTCGTGCTATGGGTCATCTCTTACTCTGTGTGTGTGTGTGTGTGTGTGTGTGTGTGTGTGTGTGTGTGTGTGTGTGTGTGTGTGTGTGTGTGTGTGCCAGCTAGTTCAGTTGGTGGGTACACTTATGCCTGATTGTGTTGGGTATGTTGCCAACAGGCTCGGCTGCTTGAAGGTGTAATGTTGTACTTGCCACCTTTGTTGGTTCCAGGGTTCATATACTTTCTATTTGAAGTATACATACCTGTTAACCATGGACTGCTTCTGGCTAGATTAACTCTTGTGTAATCGATGGTGCTAGTGATGTCTAAATCAGATCTAGCCTGATTTAGCCACCCGCACTAGTAGCAAGTATTACCTCCACTGGGGGCAGGGGTAACTGCAGTTGGATCCCAGGACGGATACCCTGATGCCGTCTATCCTTTTTCTGCACCTTGTCCACACCCACTTACTGAGGTGTGGTGAGCCCATAAGTGGGATCGTTTTCAAGTCCACCCAGAGTTTTGGGGATTTCAGGGGGTGTCGGCCGTTGGGCGGTTCAATAACCAATTGAGTCATCTTTCCAAGATTCCTTTAGAGTCTCTCTCCCCTCTCCCGGGGAGACCCACGTGACCAGTTTTGGCAGTGAGCAACAAGTACAAGTACAGGTGTGTGTGTGTGTGTGTGTGTGCGTGTGTGTGCATGTCTCTCTCTCTCTCTCTCTCTCTCTCTCTCTCTCTCTCTCTCTCTCTCTCTCTCTCTCACACACACACATACACACTCTCTCTCTCACACACACACTCTCTCTCCCTCTCTCTCTCCATCCGTTCTGTTGTACCTTTCAGCCAAGTTCATTTGACCCCCTCTTGGATGATTCCATCGTCATGGCGTGTCGTCTGCACGCACTCGGCAAGGATGTGACACTACGCCCATTCGACGGAATATCCCATGGCTTCCTCAACTTCCACGCAGTCAGCCGCTTGGCGCAGCAAGCCACCGACGTGTGCATTGAGTTGATGGACGCAGCAATCAAGCAACACGACCAAGATGTTTAGTCGTGATACAAGTAGTCCGTATTGCAGGACGAGATGTCACCACTCATGCGTTCTCAGTGCAGCACCGGACATTTGCCCATTGGCACTCATTTTACGAGTATTGAACTATTTAAAAAAAATACTTAAGTAAGGTCCATAATTAGTTTTATTCCCGTAGCTATGCAGAAGACGTTACTTCAGTAACGCCTGGCGCTATCCCGTATCTGTCCCGTACCGTACCATCAAACACAGCTGGCCGCAATATTCAAATAGGGCTTTCAACCGCAAGATCATAACGTGAAGCAACTTGGAAGAATGAGTATGAATGCGAAGTGTATGGGGGAATGCATGAAGGGCGATAGTGCGGGTTCGAATCCCAGGTAATGCCCGAAAAAAATAGGAGAATTGAGCAATTTATTAACATCCCTTTTCTTTTTTTGCCGTCATCAAGGCGGTAGACGGTGTCGTATTACCCTCGACCGTACCTATCCCGACCGTACCGTACAATCAAAAACGGCTGGCCACAATCCATATTCCAATAGGGCTTTAAAATACAAGATCATAACGTGGAGCAACTTGGAAGAATTAGTATGTATGCGAAATGTATCGGGGGATGCATGCAGGGCGATAGTGCGGGTTCGAATCCCAGGTTTAATATGTCTAAAAACAAAAAGTAGAAACTTATAAGAATTTATGACATCCCTATGCTTTTTTTTTTGTCTCGGTCATCAAGGCAAAAAAGCATAGCGTAGGGCCCTGAGCTTCCAAGCTCTCTCGTTACCAAGCATCAAGTTGAAGTGGTTTGGACATGTTGCAAGGCATCAGGATAGCTACTCCCACTATTTCTTGGATGGAATAGTGCCTGGTTCTTGGCTGCATGTAGTCTAGCCTATTTTGCACTAGCGTGACCCATGCTACCGGCATACCGACAGCTCCTAAACAAAAAATAATGCGGTGCCCACGTTATTGTTGATATATATATATATGACTGTGGCTAGTAAGTCAGCACAGTAAAGAAATATACACCAGTTCTATGTGCGATAGTGCAGATCTGATACTTGCTGGATATAACATTGGAGGTTAGCGTCAATATGCACTTGGAACACTAGGGACAGTCCAGCCGTCCTAGATGACTACATTATCATACTCCCATCAGAGGGTGTACATGATTTAAACATACACACATAAAACGAGGCACTCAACTGTGAATGTACAAAGAGCCATGCGAACACGTAGTCTATGTCTTTTTCTTAGCCTTGGCGCGGGGCACCTTCGTGTGTCCGGATGCCCATGCCTTGAGGGCAAACAGCTTCTTGCCCAGGTCAGTCAAGTCGACACCAGCTAGTTCAACCTACAAGTACACCGTGTAAACACAGAGATAACACTGTGTTACATGTGTGTATCACGACTCGCTGACTGAAGAATCATGCATGCTCATATCACACGTGCGCATGTGAGACAGGAGACAGTTTGGGGAATGTCATCACACAGGAAAACAATACTAGCACATCGTTACACCACTGGCACTATGATAGGCATGTGACGTCACCCGGATGATGTGGATACATGAATGCAAGGGAATCCGGCATGTGAATACAAGAACACAGACAACAGCACAATAAGCACACAGCTACAGGAAACAACGCCAGGGGCAGTACCCAGAGCACACACAGGGAAGCAAACAATCACATGATCCGCTAGGCAGCAGCAGGACAACAAAACAGCCTAAGGACTACGAGATCTCGTATACTTAGCAGCAGGACAGACACATCCATTACTGGTCACATCAGCCGGCGGAGCACCCGCAACATACCTTGTCCTTGATAAGCTGACCACGATTCTTAGCTCGTTCTGAGCGGAGGTTGATGGATGGGAACATCTTTACAAATTGAACATACCTGCAGAGGACATTGTAGGTCCACAAGAACTTGTCATAACACGAACCCACACATAGCCTAGAGGGATGATCCTTTCCCACCAACGACTACTATTCAAGACTTCAAGTACCATAGTACAATATATGTCAGTAGCCTATAGCGATAAGCAGCCCATAATTAAGTTCTCCGTATTCCAGGAGGGTCTAGATGCTGCTAGATATCCGGAGAGCATCATCTACTCATGTACCGTAGACCAGAGCTTTATCATAGATATCAGTCTGGTTGGTGAGAACTGAGTAGGCGGGAAAGCACCTAGTACAAACCACTGCATCAAACTTTAAAACAAATACGGACACACACAAACGAGCGCACACTCATACACACAGGCACACGAATACTCATATACGTAGCAGTGTTCTGACGTACCTTGCTCGCGTGCTGTTGTTGGGCCGACTGCCGTGCGCCACACGCTGGTCCCAGATGAGTAAGCTGCCAGCACGCATGGGTACTCTCTGGGGCTGTTTGTACATGGGATCATGGCCATGCACAGGTATAAAGTTCTACAAAGAGAACACAGAGATCACAGGTAACAACCAACCATTTGTATGGTAAAGTAGTCGTTGTTGATGAAATCCAGCCAAATAAAACATCAGTACCCCGCAGCAGTACACAGACAACTGTCCCTGTGGGCAACAACTGTATGGTCCTGACCCTAGTTGAGCATGATAAGGCTGGATTTTGCTGGACATGACAGTAGTTTTAAAAAGCAGCACAGTCCCGGAGAAGGTTGCAGGAGAAAACAAGTAGCTGTAGAGAGAGTTTGTTTTTTGCAGATTTAGATTTATATTGCTCCAGGAATGGTCAAGGGTGAACAAGGGTCTTGTCAACTGCACAAAGGTGTTGTTTGTTGCTCGGACCGCGGTCACGTTCTCAGTACTGAATATCACACCAGCCTTGTCGCGCTATACATTGTGCCGTGGTGGTCACAGGTGAACGTGTTGGAGTGTCGCTTCTCAACAGAGCCTACAAAACAAAGTCATGGCGCGTGTGCCGTTATCACCGTTTGCATGAAGCCTCAGATGTCGCGGAGTGATTCTTAGTTTCTTACCTTGCCTTTCGCTCAGCTCCCCGGCAAGTTTTCCTGTTTCTGTAGTTACGTCATGACCAGTATGGCACTCAGCTGTGGGGTAGCTAACGATGAACCTAGTAGGGTGCAGAAAAAAAACACATATACATCATACATTAAAAATCCGGTTTGCATCAGCTGTGGATTTTTCAACTCCCATCCTCCCAGTCCCTGCAGAGAAACTTTGGTATAATTAGTCTGATGTGATATTGAGTCGCGTGATATTGCGAGATAACACACAAAATGTCACACAATATGTCACACATTGAGTGCCAGATTAGATAACATTCATATCACTTATGTAACATGGACAAATGTGGGCACAAGTTATGCGATTGAGTCTACCAACTAAGCCAGATTTTGAAGAGTCAGACGTGCACAATCCAGCACAAAACTGAGAAGGAGCACGGAGACATTCCACGGCATGAAAGTGCCTTGTGCCCACATTTTTCCATGTTACAATTTTTTCTTGGCTCACCGTCTGAGTTCCAATCTCTTATGTGTTGAGTTATAGTATTCTTGAATTGTGTTCAGTTTATCATCATTATTATAAGGTCGAGCATTGAAACGATTGTTTTCAGAATCAGAATATTCTTTGAAATGCTGATAAGTAGTTGATACGTGTGGATAACACAAGTGGTTATTTGTAGAGGTTATTCTTCTGGCAACTTTTTATTTCGCCATTTGTTTGGATAATGAACCTACCGTTCGCAGAGACTGAGCTCACACAACTTCTCAGCTTCAAGGGCAGTCGTAACTGACTTCTTTAGTTTCTCCAGTTGGGTGTTGTGTCCTCCACCTTGTTTCATGCTGTCAAACTAACAACATGTGTGAACTATAACAAGGTTTATCTAATACTAGTATTGTACTAGTATTGGGTTTGTACAGTCTATATCCAGCCCACTGATAATGGTGCAGAGCCACTCCGTTTTATGTGTCTATCAGCACTGCTTGTTGTACTGTTGTGCATTATCATACTACTACGCATTCGTTCCTCATGTTGTATTCACGTCTGATGCGCGTAGTCGCGTACACTGCTTTCATTCCTCATGTTGTATTCACGTCTGGATGCGCGTAGTCGCGTACACTGCTTTCACTTCTCATGTTGTATTCACGTCTGATGCGCGTAGTCGCGTACACTGCTTTCGCGCAATCTTTTGATTTGAATGTTTTTTGAATCTCCGCTTCTGCTTCGAGAGAAGCAGAACTTTCCTTTGTACTGCAAGATGATTTCGATCAGAGTCAGAGTAAAACATTATAATACAGTCTTCTAAAACAACGAGTCGTGTGCTATCTGAGGCATGTTCGAGTAAGAACAGGGTTATAATAGTACTTGTCTGTATCAGAGGGTCCCGGGCATCATACAGGCGTAGGAATAGGGCCTTTGTAAATAGCTGCCGTTCTTTGCCAGTACGGTAATGTTTCTGTGGGCTCTTTTACCTAGGGTTTTTGTCTCTTTTTTGTGTTCCAATTGATTTTTACTTTTTATTTTTGTGTTTAATACTAACATTCACGCATTTTTATGACTTGGGGCTGCACGCATGCTAGAGTGTACGTGAAGTGTGTGGGTACAGTGAGGGCTGCGTCCCACCCGCCTGTGTGGATTCACAGGAAGTGTGAGTTACGAAGTCTGAAGAAAATGTTGAACGGTCTCTGCTGGGATGACGACTACACCATAGCTCAGTGGTTAGAGCATCGCTAGCTACAAGCGAGGGTCCCTGATTCGAGTCCTGGTGGTGACAGTCAATTTTTTGTTCAGACTTTTCCCGTTTGTCTCTTTCCCTCAAACTAGTGAAGATTCATGCATTTAAATTGATTTTTGTACTTCAAAGTAGTTTACTGAATTTGAATTTGTTTGATGATATGTGCAATTCATTTTTCCCGCACAAGAGGCTTTACTAGTACTTACCTGCGGAGGCATTGGTTGTGAGAGTTACCACCTCACCCTCGCAGTTTGGCGCTGCATCCCCTCTGAGATGAACGGCTGCTGAAAATGTTATTGCGTCTGCGTTGTTGTGACTGCTTTTGCTACGCTGCCTGCTCTTCTTGGCATTGCTGCTGCTACGAGTACGAGTTCGTACTCCAGTCTTCTGTCTTGGCAATTACTGCACTAATAAAATATTGAAGTAATAATATTCACTGGTACAGTGGTAGAATTATTAGAAGTTGAAAAAGACATCATGATAATCATCGAAAGAAGTGAACATCAGGGAGTCGTCAAATACCGGTATTTGACGACTCCCTGGTGAACATGAACCGCTTCGAACAGACGTTCGGCAAATATTTTTCCCTTGGCCGCGGGCCTAGCATATATAGGCCGTAGCTGTAGCTCAAGACTGCACTCGTACTGGGTCACGGCGAAGTGTCTCACTCGCTCTACCGCCGCAAGTCTGGAGCGCTTTGCGCTGGTGGCTCTCGCGTGCGCGCGCTTCTGGTTGCCGTGGTGCGAGAAATCCGGCCCTCCTAGACCAGCGTCCCTTTAGTCCTTCGCATTAGCCAACCATGGTAAAAGAAGGAGAAGATTATATATGTAGGACTCAGCATAGAGTCCATGCACTATATGATGTCCGGCACCCTATATAGAGTCCATTGGTCCAAAATCCACTATACAGAGTCCAGGAGTCCACTCAGTTTTGATCAGCTTCATCCTGCCGCGCAATCCCCTATAAGGAGTACACTTTTTCTACAAGTCCCCTATTCACAGTCCAGGAGTCCAGTTTATCCAGTCACACCGTCCTGTGTGTTGTGCCCGAAAGAGAACAAACACATTTTCAGTTTTGCTTGCCTCGTGGCAGCGCATTCCTTTCTTCACTTCAGCCATGGCTGCCAGTTCTGCTGTGCAGTTGCTCACAGTAATCTGTCTCGAGGTAACCAAGGAGGATAAGGAGACGTTCAAAATCAAATCTGGAAAGCGTCACTCGCTTGTGGTTCTCTGAAGACTTTTCATCAGTGCGCGGGATGAAAGCAGAAATTTGAGAACGGGAAAAGTTCAGCACAGTTCAAATCTGACGAGTCAGGTACACTGACACTCTCTTTCGTTCGACGCCACAAGGATCCCCTGTTTGGCTGGCCATTGCTGCCAGTAAGACGTTTGAACGGTTTCATCCGAACGAGGGATGAAAGCAGAAACGGAGAAAGAGAAAAGTTCAGCACAGTTCAAATCTGACGAGTCAGATACACTGACACTCTCTTTCGTTCGACGCCACAAGCATACCCCTGTTTGACTGGACAAGAGCTGCCTGTACCACCGTGTCAAAAGGCTGTCTAACTACATGGCAGGACGATGACTGAGGTAAGGAAGCTTTTACTCGTTTCGATTGGTCTGCTGTTCTGTCGTTATGCTTGAATTTTTTCCATTTTTCAAGGATCGTATCGCGTTTGTTTGATGTTGCTTGAATGAATGCCCTAAAAGTAATCAACCACTTCGTAATACTAATAGTCCTCAAGGACTGCAAGGACTTTGCATCAATCGAATACGATCGTCTAGCTATCATCAATTATTATAATTCTGTATTTTCATCCCTGTGATAATTATTATGTGAAACTCCACGACACTCTTCCTCTAGTATGATGTCAAATACAATGGGATCCACAAACGCAGTGCCAGTGTACTAGTAGTAGTAGGAGGATTGCTTGTATGCCAATGACAAGAAAAAACTTCTCAAGCTAATACTCGTATTCCCTGAAGTAACCGTTTTGATGTCACGAACATGACATTGTGTCAGTGAAACTGCCTCGTGACAACAAATCATTGCATTTCCATCTTGGGGAAGACTGACTGACGGCAACACTGTACAGATTGTTCAAATCATCTCATTTCAATTTAGTTGCAGTGAAGTGAAACACTGTGTACACTACATGTATGGTGGTGTGTCTGTGCGTCTTGAGTGTGCACAAACGATCTTATTCCTCGTATTACTAATAAATTATTGTCCCCACCGTCACCTGTTCACAGGTCTTTGAGTGGATGGATTTTCATTGAGCATCACATTCGTTGAGAACTTGGTAGTTGTGTGCTCCCATGCATCATTACGGTAATAAGCGTATCCTTGTGCTATCTATTTGTTGCAGGTGTGCTGATCTTCAGAAGCTTGCGGAACTGAGTGCTGCTGAACATTTGCATGGCCATGAGCGATGGTGAAGCTTGCTATTGCACTCTCAGCATGTGCTAGTATTATGCTGACCACTGCACTATGTTACTCTCTTACACTACTACGTGTATGTAAACGTGCGTGTACCCGTCCCCGTACGCATTCGTTTCGTATAATTATTTGTTATCCCTCTTGACTTTACATGTAAATGGGTGGACGTTTGCATGGCTGTTGGAGTTGCGTGTGTATTGTGTCTCTACTCTTTTCTTGGTGTTTTCTTGGCGTTGTGTAAGTTTGTGTGTGTGTGTGTGTGTGTGTGTGTGTGTGTGTGCGTGCAATAATTTGAAAACAAATAATTAATCCTGGGCTCTTCATTATTCTCCTTCGATTCTTGTTTTTTTCTAGGTATTTTCTTGGCGTTGTGTGGGTGTGTGCATGTGTGTGTGCGTGCACAATAATTTGGCAACACTACATGATTGAGATATTGTAATTTGCAGCATCTGCGAAGAGACCACTTGATTTGAGGATGGTGTTTGTAGGGTTTTTCATGTAATGAAGTGGCTGCAGTGGCGCCTCAATACAAATTTTTATCTTGAGAAGTGAATGATGTAAAGAATTAAAGGGAGAGGCCGTTTTCTGGTTAATATTCACTGCTTACAGCAGATCCTTTGTCTAATTTCGAACTCGATAGGGGATGCCTAATTGGCTGGACTTTATACAGGGAGTGTTGTCCAAATAAAGACTCTTTAATCTTTATAGTTGATTTCAAAGTTTGGACTCCGTACAGTTGATTTTGGACCAATGGACTCTATATAGGGGTGAAGCCAATTGGCTGGACTCTATACAGGGAGTTATGTCCATTTGAGCTCACAGTTGATTCCAAGTTTGGACTCTGTACAGTGGATTTTGGACCAATGGGCTCTATATAGGGGTTGGACATCATATAGGGGCTGGACGCTCTACTGAGTCCAACATATACATGAAAAGGAAACAGCCGAAAAGCTATATTGATTTAATAGTTTTACGTGATAGTACACTTACCTGCATGAGCTGTGACCACACAGCTAAAATAAATGGGCATGCCACGGCTAAAAAAAGTTCATTTCAAGATCGAGGTGATTCCGCCGATGGTAATCAACCGACCTCGCAACGATCGTGTATTCTAACTAGGCTTCGTTGGTGGCGAAGTAGAAATCATCCAGAGCTAGCAGACGACAAGCATAGCAGCTCTTGCCCTGTGGAGAAAGTCAAAGCGTTTGAGATGAGGCGAGACCAACTTTCAACCTTCCTTGAAATATTTCGGAACGATATTTTTGCGTCCATTGACATCAGCGACGACGAGGACTTCATCTCTGCATGAAAACTCTCAGTCCAACTGTCCTGGAACGTTACTCTAGTCTTCAGATTATCATACTGCGTAATAAATTTTGAATGGCTTAGCTTATGGAGTTGTCAGTAACAAGTGACCAGTCACTAGTCAAACTGCGACAATTTCGATGACGCGGAGGAAGTATATGTTTAGGAACACAACCCAAGAGCATTCGATGAACCAATATACAGAGGCAAATTTGTCGGCGTTGCTCTAACGGAGTAGTCTGAGCTAATACCGTATTTCCACAAATAGTAGGCCGGTCTACTATTTTTTCAACCTCGTCCTAACCCGGTCTTATAATCGAGGACGGTCTTGTATTCGACGACGGTCTTTTATTCTTTCAACCCAGTTTGACCCCGGTCTTCTATTTCTCGCCACACAGTTTTACCCCCGTTCTTCCATTTTCTTCTACACAGTTTGTGCACGGTCTTCTATTTGTTCCCACAGTTTGAGCACGGTCTTCTATTTTCAACACAAGAACAAAGACTCATTTAGTAGGCCCGGTCTTCTAATCAGAGACGGTCTTTTATTTTTTCAATCGCCCCCTGCCCCGGCCTTGTATACGAGGAAGGCGTTGTAAACGAGGACGGCCTTTTATTTGCGGAAATACGGTAAGTACAACTCATTGGAGGGAAAGGTAGGTTTCTTCGAGAGCAAATTTTTTAGAACTTTTTTATGATGGACTTCAATGTAATCGGATAAGACCTTAGCTAGACCACACCAGGCTGTGGCAGCATATTCAAACAATGGAAGGAGATAAATTTTATATATAGCTGAACGGCACGGAATAGAGAGATGTTCACAATGACCTTTAATATAGCCAAGAGCACGGCTGACTTTATTACAAAATGTAATCTACATGAGCCGACCAGGAGATGGATGAACCGAACATTATCCCTGTGTTTGTGCTTCTTTTAACGTCTGAATTTCTGTAGGTGAATTGGGAAAGGTGAACTTAAACGTTGAGGCAGAATCTGTGTCTTTTTCTCCCTATTTGTTTCACTTTCTGACAGTATATTGTCCGGTTGCATCTTTGGAAATAATTATACTCAAAGGTCGTATTCATAATGTCCCATCTCCTTCCTACAAGGAGTGATAATAAGAATGTAAAGAGCAGTGCATTTCTTTGGTGAGAATTCAACGGCTTCATTCTGTGCGCTCATATCAGAGCTGTCCGTCATTCTGTAGGATGAATTGGAGGCAAGTTTTCGTGTCGCAATCTGTAACGTGGCAAACGGGAAGTTAAAAATACAAAGAGTGCTTTATACGGGTGTACCGGTACTTCTGTTCACAAAAATAGGGTGTGGAATGAATTCACATCACGCAGTGAGCCCTGTACTACTTAGGGAGAATTCCCGCTGGAGTAAGACTTGAGAAACTATATATAGAGCGTCAAAGTCAATTATAGAACACTATCAGCAGCTTGGAGATCATTATGCGTTGAATATCCAGTTAAAAGTGATGCTGCCTCAAGAGCAATTTTCTAGCCCCTTAGGCCGTCATCACACCACGTTCTCCGACTCCCGTTTACGTCTACGTCTATGGTGAAAAACCCAAAACGGGTGGTCGTGTCATCAGATCAGACTAGACAGGCACAGTTCTTGACGCGTACACGCAGTCAGGTTTTTGGAGAAATTTGAACCCACGTACATCGAAGTACAGGGTCGCTCGGAAAAAGGCTGGGGGAGATACGCACGTTCATACAAAAAGTCGTATACCCCCCCCCCTCTCCATACCACGTCCACGTCTCCCGTTTCCTCTGCTCCCGTTTTCACCCCGTATACGGATCATCATGACAACCGACCAAAAACTCCTTACGTGGACGTAGACGCAGCGCGTTGTACCATGGTGTGATGACAGCCTTATTAGGCAGAACAGGATCACTGCCTAGGCCTACAACTTAATGTCCTAGGCCCCATGATCCTATCTACCGTATTTGGAATCGATTGCTGCAAGCCCATGTTTGGACCGACACCAGGAACAACATGAATTATAAAAACAGTGATAGTGAAATAGTCTTCCCACTTCTCCTTGCTCTTAGTTGGGTAAGGTTGGTGTACTGATCTGTCTACTGCCATCCCTTCGGGCAGCGATCTGAACCCCTTGCTGAGAAAGGTAAAACGCCTGAATTATTGCCATACTCTGGGGTCGGTGCATCTTGTATGGCATCGTCTTAACTGTGGCCTGGCATAATAGCTGTTCGATTTTTTCAGTGCGCTTATGAACATTGATGGATGTTTTGTTGCATCGCAAAATTGGACTCACTGTTGTGCAGCATAATTGTTCGCTTTTATATAAATATTCAATTTTGTTATGATACGTTACGGATATGCAAACCTTCTTTTTTTTCTCTCCCAAACGTAGAAACCACATTTCCCGTACCTGTTTCAACATGCGAGTGCCACTTCTCCCCGTGCTGGTGTTGGTCTCCTTGGCCGCCATGGCTGTGCTACCGGAATGTGAAGGTGAGAATGCCACTTGGTTCGAGGCGCCAAGATCTGATAACTTGCTGGTGCTAAAGGGCGGTAAAACCCAGTGCAAGTGCAATACTGCAGTGTAGGTTTGCTGATAATGTGCATACGGTGTGTCTGGGTTGTGGCTTGACTACAAGCTTATCACCATTGTATTCGACTGGAAAAGTATGGTATGAAAGGTCTAGTTGAAACTATAAGAATAATAATTATTATTATGGCATCTGTGCTTCGTTTGCTGATTTTATACATGACGTATATGTATCTGTAAATACAATGATACATTCAGAATTGTTGACGAAACAACGCCAGCTGCGTAAAAATTAATGACAGGTACGATGTGCCCATTGTGATCTTTCTCCACAGCGAGGACATTTTTCTGTGACGGATTCAATGTTAGCATCAATACCAACAAACTTTCGTACAGAGGTGCCCGTAGCGCCTGTTTGGAACAGAACATAGGGCTTCTTAGAATCAAAGAACATAACTTGCTGAAAAATTCCCAGTGCTACAAGGTAAGAATTTAGCATGTCTAAAAGTTCAGAAAACATTCTGCACTCAATCACTATAATACCAACACCCTCATCAAGCCAATAAGGCACTCATATAGATTCGTTTGTCAAGGCACTGTGGTTATTAGATATGTTTAATTCGGTCTGTAGGACTGCTATCAGACACTAAGTGCCATGATGAGAATTTCCTGTTCACTCCCAACGTCATGCCCTATCGTTTGTTCTACAGTCCATTCATTGGAAACTGGCACCCTAACTTTTTGGTGTCTCCCGCACATAGTTGAAGATATCGTGAAAACAACAGTACATCCTGCATTGTGTGACCCTTGCAATTACATGTACTCCTTGCCACAGTTGAGGGCAGAAAAGTCCAGGAACAGAGAAATAGAAATTCAGGCAGGTTTTCCAAAATTAGGACAGGTATGGCATGGCAAAATGTTTGGAAAAGCAGATCCCAAACCCAGATTTCTTCAATTTAAAATTGGAGTTTTGATCCTCAATTCGGCCCAAATCGGACTTTCAAAAGCCTGCGGGACTGTTTCCGATGAATGGACTGCAGGCTTTGTGTTATAGGCCGCCTAAAGTTCCCTCAAGAGATCCAAAATTATCCTTTGGCGATTGACCGGTACTTGTTGAAAACATTTAATGTTCAATGCTCCGGAATGCTTCTGAACAGTTCTCAAGAGCACGAGTGTTATGGACTCATACTGATGCTGTTGCTTGTGGGGTTGGCTTATAAATGCAGGAAGTACGTGCTGTTCCTGGTTTTTCCAGTTAGCAAAGGATTAACATTTTTTCAATAGACCTAGAAATAGAGCCAATACTCAATACTGCCTATGCAGTATCAAAATCCCAAAAGGCATGATCCCTAATAGCAATGGAACCACTGTGCATGCTAGACTTGGATGGAGAGACAATGATAACAATTAATTAAGGCAGCGTTTACACGGAGACGAAACGAAACGAAATGAAACGGAACGGAATTGCCCTTGAATTGTTTTCAAACCATTTGCGCGAATCAACACGCTAGTTGCAGTTTTCTAGCTCATGAACGCTGTTTTGAGCTCTTGGTTTGAATATTTTCCACACCATATTATCATGTTTATTGCCGCGCGGAATGGTTTCCATGACCGCACTTCTTTTCCAATCGTTTTCACTGTTTAAAATAGAGCGGAGGCGTTTTGAAAACATTTCAAACTACTTTGAAGTGCGTTTCCATTTTCGTTCGGTTTCGGGTGCGTTTTCGGCATTATCGTGTTAATGATTGTAAACCGCAACGATTTCTTTCCATTCCAGTCGCTCTTCGTTGTAACCCAGCAAAAGACGCAGAAAGACCATAGCTTTCTAACTTATTGTCATATTGAGTGCGTTTAATAGATTACACCCATTTCGATCAATTTTAGAATTAGTTATGGCGGATGCACCGTTCGGTTCCACATAAATCTCTCTACGGATTTACGTAGGAAAGCTGTTTCCTACGTTGGGTCCTCCGTAGGACTTTTTGAAATATATTTCGCGTTTTCCGGATTAAACCATGCCATGCAATGCAACGTTCAAGCCGCGCGAAACACAAGGTACACACACCGTACACCACGTGCAAAATAAAAGGGTAAATGCGGTTTCTGTTCGTGGTGAATGCTGTGGGTGCATGCAGCCAACGCGTCTCCAAAGCAACCACGCATGTTTAGCAGTCGTTGAGAAATCACGTAGAGTGAAAGTCAACAGGGAGGTTCTGCTATACGTGAAACGTAGGGAAATCACGTAGAGAGCAGATGTCTGGGTCAGAGTCTACGGCTTCGGGTGTTTTGGGTCCAGGTTTCCACGCGTAGATGAGGTTCTCTACGTTGTGGCACACGCAAAGAAAATGCGTACGGATCTGCTGGGTATCATTAGGAGTGCAGGCCAAATTTGCCAGATATGGAAAGGGAAATTCCCAGTACACATTCCACGTGACTTCTCTACCTGAACGTAGAGCAGAACAGGATTTCTTTAGGTTATGGGAACGCGAAGAGAGTTCGAGTGATTCTTTGCATCGTTTTTCCAAAACGTAGAGCAGAACCTCCCTAGTAGCTCTGATTTTTACGTTTGAAAAAATTCCGTGCAGTTCGTACGTAACGTTATTAGGGAGGTTTTGCTGGCTCCATCCCTTATCTCCTAAATAAATTATCGTGTCCCTTCCCAAGGGAACTCACGAAGGCCGCTAACACCCGGTAAACCCTAGCCGCAGATGCAGCGCATTACGGTGGGTTGAGTGGATAAGTCTCACAACCACTCGCACAAGTGCCGAGAAACCCCATTAGCAGCATCCATGTACGCCTTGTGCCTGGCAACAAGTTCCCAGTTGACTGTGGGTAGCAGCACGGCTGGAAAAACCGCTCCCAAGCAAGACTTGAACCAGGTATCTCTCGTATCTCAACCATGGTCTTTGACCAACCCACTGTGCCTGCCTGCTTTAAATTTGATTCCAGAAAGTAATAGCCAGACTTGTAAGACGGGGACTACAAAATATATGGCTTTACAATAGACAGGGAAAAGGTTCTCTTGATATCAAGAGCTCCAGGATCACTGAGCAGCCGGACGATTCGCCCAGACCATTCATATGTGCAAGAGGTAAGCGATGTACATAAATTGGTTTCTCATAATGAGGACATATATAGCAGTATCTCACTCTGGGAATCACGAGGTCCATTATTTTCTTTGTTCCGTGGCGCATTCAAGATAAATTTTCGAACTGGCGAACGCCATTCGGGGTGGTGCTTGTTTCCTCGACCGAAACCATTTCGTTAAGCCAGTGGCAGTATTTTCACAAGTCACAGTTTTGCCAATTCACTTGTCCAAACAAAATGCTTCTATTGTAATTATACAGTCAACTTTGCGTATAACGACACTCGGCGGGGCATACTGCACACTACCATATTGATGGACATTTTTGTGATTCCGTTTTTGAATTCATATGCACTATATGTATTATAATCTTGAAGAAAAAGTCCTTGGATTCTATCTCCACTGCATGTCCGTGCTCTCATTGCTCTGTATAATCACTTTTTTCTCCATGTGTAAGATTGGGATGAGTGCAGCACTGATCCATGTTCTCAAGGAGAAATCTGTGTCAATGGTAAAGGGACTTACAAGTGTGAAGGTAGGCTACGTGATCTGCTGTTTGTTCGAGGAATGGTCTTGCCTCGGCGCTCATTGAAATGATTTTCAGGAGTAGATAAGATTTGAGTATGGCTACTGTAGAGATTGGATCGAGCAATATTATTACCGATCCGGAGGGCGGACATTGTCTGGCTCTCGGGTCAGGAGCGTCAACATTAGCCAATCTCGAGACGTTGTTGTTCTTGTTGTTGTTTATTTATTTTACATCGCAAGGCAAACGGGCAGTTCTGCCCAATAACGTTATTATGGAAGCGATGACAACCAGTAAGAAGAGTCAGAAATGAAGAGAAAAATAAATGAAAATAAAAATACGAAAATGGAAGGAGCAATGAGGGGAAGCAGGGTCAAGACGAGCAGAAAAAAATGAATCTCAAATTTACAAGTCGGGTCATCGTAGCATGATTCTCTCGAGCCTCATCAGCAGGTTACGAAAGCCTGTACATTTAACCGAAGTAAAATACGCGTAGCATGCGTTTGAATTCACGGACACAGACTATGGTCTTCATACAGTCGGGCAGGCCATTCCAGAGTCGGCAGCTGGCTAGAAGCGGTCGGCATGCGCCAGAAGCACTGTGGGCCAGGGGGAGGGGAAGGTTGCGTCCCAATTGACCTCGAGTGGTCATGCCTGTCGGTGGGCCTTGCAATACAATTCGGGACGACGTCGGCGAGGGCTCCAAGAAGAGTTGTCTAAAGCAGTGATTTTCAGAGAATATTGTGCATGCAGGTACTAAGGAGACGGAAAGTAAGTAATGCCATTGTTACAATGTGGCGAATGGGGAATTGTTTTGATAAAAGGAGCGAACTTTGAGCGAAATCGGAAATCTGGCCATGTCCGAAAATATTTGGTGGTTAAAGATGTTGACTATTAACCCTTTGAGGACCGAGCACGAGTTAACTCGTCCAAATTATGTTCGCTGTGTTTACGAGGACGAGTAAACTCGTTCTGACAGTGCATACATTTGTACGGTGCATATAAACCAGTGTTCAAATTATCGCAACTCTGCTGTCCTTTCTCCAATCTCCGCAAATGAAAGGCCGTTGGAACATTGCCTCCTTTTAACCCCTTGTGGACTTCATTCACGCAGCAGGACAGTGTGGTCCCAAAACGCTGCGTTCCTTCGATATGCTCCAAAATTAAATAATCGAAAAAATATTCGCCAAGTATTCAAACAAGGTACAAGAACGATGGGCCACCGCTGCAAACCACACAAAAGCGCAGTCGAACCAACTATCTTCGCAAACCGATTCAAGTTACCTAGTAAATTAGTTATAATGTGATTTTTAATATCATTTTATTGGATATTCAACGACGACCATACCCGTATAGTACGCGTATGCGACACGGCAGTAGATCGACACTGCCTGGACTTGAGAGCTACAGCACAGCCTCAGTACAGGCCAGGCGCCAGTCGATCGCACTTGCAAGACAGCGCATTTTCACACTTTGCAGTTGACAACGCACTGGCAAGTACAGTTTCGCACCTTACTGAACCTGGGTCGCGGTCGCTTACAGCAGATTTGAATGCAGCCACCGTGCATGAAATCGCGGTCGCTGGTCGCGCAACGCAGATGGTCGCTCTGGACAGATCAGTTTGTATGTGAAACCGTCGGTGCACGGAAAATCGGTCGCTAACGGTAGATGGTCGCCTACAGCAGAAATTAAATAATCGAAAAAATATTCGCCAAGTATTCAAACAAGGTACAAGGTACAAGAACGACAGCAGAGGTCGCTAACGGCAGATTTGACTGTATTTAGCTATCCTACTTTCGACTGACGACTTGCTGAGTCCCTCGAACGAATCGATCTATTTAAACTGTCCAAAGGCGGCCAGTGCGAAGGCCATCTTCAAGGGCGAGACTACGTTTTGAAATGTGGGGTAGACCACCAACATAGTCTGCCACAACATGTCCCCAAGCGCCGACAAGACTTTAGTGGTCTTGAATAAATTTATTCACTAAAATTAATATCACTTGAGAAAAATTTCAAATTTCTCTCCTACAGTCATGCACTAACTGAATTCAACCACGTGGCAGGAAAGCACCCACGGAGCGCCTACATATGCCCTTTCGTTTCCAGCACTTAGAAACCATGGGAATAACCTCTACGTTCCCAGAAACTCGAATGAAAGCCGCCGCGATCAGTCACTTGCTGATCAACAGCTCAACAAGACGAGAAAGAAGAACTGCTCCACCACAACAAATCAGCGAAACAGTGGCGCAAGATGGCCCGCACAGTTCGCCTGTCCTGGGAAGCTAGTGCAAGGTTTTGCAAAGCCCCTGAGCGCTTGATTTTTGTGCGGTCGCCGCTTGGTGCCATGACAAACTAGCCGTTGGCTCGTGGGATGTAAGAAAGACCATTGAGCTCGATACGTGGACCAAGAGCGGATTTCTCTTACATGCGTGGCTGCAGCGCATTCAACTACTCAAAGATATGTGTGGTGATCATGTTAACACTACTCAGCTGGCGAAATGATGCCGCCATGACGCTTTCATCTTCGGTCCATCGTGTTTTTGCTCTTTGCTTTGCATCCCAACAAATTCCTCAATTTTAATATCGAAGTGTATCCCGGTTCTCCCTATTCCGTAGTTCGATGTACATGTAATTATGTTTATGCTTGGTTTATGACACAAAGAAACCGCATCCGAACTATTAGGCCTATATCAGCGAAATTGCCTTTATCTTAAGTGTTTTCTGAATTCTGAAGTGTCTTTCAGCCTGTAATTAATAACGTGAATGACGGTGTTTGAAACTTTTTTAAATTAATATTGCATTAAATTGCAAAATTCATTTTCGAACCATTTGACACCTGGATTACCCATGATTATGGTGCGGTGCATGTATTCTCAACTAGTTTAGATTTTTGTGTGCTTGCCTCAGATTCGCTAGATAGATAACCATTTTCACGTCTATAAATCGTATACTGTTTTCTATGTTGCATGCGAGATAGATCGAAATGAGTGTGAGGACTCGCCAGATGTTTGCGATCCAGGTTTCAATTGTACAAACACCATTGGAAGTTACATGTGTCATGGTAAGTGTCGCAAGCGGCGTTCATTGAAACGTTTATCAGGCCTTCACCTGGAATATTCTTTACGACGAACCTTTACATTGTTAATGCGATTAATAGTATAAGTGAAGCGGACATTACAAAATGATGAATGAGAATACATGTATCTAAAATGGTTGTTCCTAATCGATTTTCTTGAGACTATCATCAGGGAAAATCGTCTCACAATAGAGGCTATACGGAGAAACAAACTACTTATAGGTTAATGGATAGTGGGAAGTATACAAGGTGAGGTGTGAAAAAAAACTAAAGTGGGAGAGAAGACGAAAGAAATTAGAAGAAAAGATGTGAAATGAAGGCGTGGAAGCAGGTGAATGTGATAGAGTGAGGAACTGTGAGGTGTAGGTTCCTTTACATTGTTTTTATTATTCTATTATCTTTAAAAAGAATTTTGTATTGCTCCTTTCGTGGGAGCTTGCGCTATTCCTGCCGACTTGAATTCTCACTTGCAAGCTCCCACGTAGGGAGCAACACACAATTCCTCATTTATCGCGAAGTCACACCAACGTCTTCTTCACCTTTGGCAAATACCCACTCTCATGAGTGACCACACCTTCAACAGTACCATCAAGAGTCCATAAGCCCCCCCCCCCCCCCCCTGGGGTTATGTACTCTTGGTACCACATTAATAACACCCGTGCCATTTACAAATGTAGCACTGCACTTTTCACTAAAAGACGTACTAGTCTAATTTCATATCTATCGCCTGAAGAGACATCACAAAAGTAACTAACCAGTGTGCATTGACGTAATGTCTACGTAACTTCCGCCTAAGGTAATCACCATGAAAATCACCATAATAGTCCATCGGCCAAGTCTCAAAATCGAAAGTGGTGATGCACTGTGCTTCCAACTAAACACGACCATACCCAGCACGTAGAAAATATATCAGAGAACACTATTCCGTTTGTTGGACGTGCCGAATTCAGTCCAGGGCGTCGATACGAAACGTTCTTTGTCGCCGAGTTTTTTCCTGTGCGCTCCATTTGAGAGTGCGCAGAGTTCTGATCGAGAGTTTTTTGAGCAGATTTTCAAATTTTTGAGGCTGTCAGCTGACAGCTGTCAACGCTAAATGGCACTTCGTATGTGAAAGACAATAGGTTTCGGTGCCCCCATATTCCTTCTATCTTCCTCCGTTTCACTTCGCTGCTTGGCCCGCCACCACAGGAGATGACAGCGTACCTGCACTAGTCAGCTTTCGCTAACCCTGTCTCTCTTTCTCCGTCTTAGCGCTCGTCATTCGTGTCCTTCTGCTGGGGCGAGCTTGATACTGTTGTCTCGTAGTTTTTAGGCAACAGTGGCTGTTGTTTACGTGACGATCAGGATTTATGGAGAAAGACGACGACTATTAGTTAGGTCGTCAAAAACGCGTTCGTTATGCCCATTGGTTGTCTCTTGTTGTCGCACCACACTTCACGATTGTAGGGTTTTCTCGCACTTGCACCTTTCTGGCTTTATTGCTTTATGTATATGTAGAGGTCACGCATCTTCACTGGTTTTTTAAAGCTATCTTCTGCTTGGCACTGTTTATCACCTCCTTACTGTACTGAATCCACTGTTCTTGTTGTTCCTTTCCCTTTGCCTGTATTTCACCTGACGAGAAGGCTTGAAAGTATACTTGTGAAACAGAAAACTTTCATAATGTTCGTGAAGAGACTGAAGACCCTTAAGAGAGCATGTGTGAGAATACCAAAGTATATTATGTGGAAGTGAATCTCTCCGATTTCGCTCAAAATGTGCAGGAGGTTTCCTTTGGGGTGTGGATCGACTGTGCAAAGCCCGCGGAAAAGTTTCTTTAAAACTCCTATTCAGACATTCCTACTAATATCGGCAACCAATTCATTTTGGACTTCAATTTACAATATCTGACTTCATCTGTAGCTCGTTAACACAAACTGGTATCCCTCTCTGCATTCACCAAGCTAGGGTCAGGGCCATAATTATCTTCTTGGTATGAAGATACCCTTCTTGGGTATGTTGTGGATTGCTCGTATGCGACAATGTGCGTGTTTTGACAGCTAGCTGATGTAATGAGCTCTTCTTTGCATGTTGCCTTTTTGCAGGATCACACTGCGGCGCAATTAAGATATCCAACGGTTCACTAGCAAGGACGAGCGTAGATCAATCCGTCGAACCCATCTGCGAAGATGGCTTCAGTGCATTAGGAGAAAAGGCTTCTTGCGGTATAAATGGCTGGTCCTACAATGAATTCATGTGTACACCAAGTAAGTCCTAGGACTAGGAGAAGCACACGAGAAGTCCATCATACCCTCCGTTTGGTAAACCGTGCTGCAAGAAAGCACCACTCTCTGTACGGTATACAGTGTTTCAGGCACAACTCCCCCCCCCCACCTCCACCCCTACCCCCCCACCCCCCATCCCCCCACCCCCCACCCCCCCCCCCCCCACCAACCCCCCATCCCCCACCCCCCACCCCCCCCCCACACACACCCAGGCTTAAGAGGATTGTGCACGAAGTATTTCACTTATAGTGCTCTTCAAACTCAAACCTCACCATGGATACAAACCTTTAAAGATGTCCTTTTCAAGCACGAATAAAAGCCTTGTGAACATCAGAAAGAAGAAAGAGTTAGGGCTGCTCGGGGTTAGGCGCTCCAGGCCTCGACGACCACTATTTTGCTAGTATCCGATACCCCTAAAAACACCTCTTGTAGATTGTGCTGGTTGTATAATTATATGGAAGGCAACAACCTTAAATCCATTTTCTGCAATCATTGCTCCATGGCTAGGAACAGGTCTGTATATTTTTTGTTCAAGTATAGGTAAGTATCACTTGCAAATATCTGGGTTTAGATAGCTATCAAATTTAATGTAATTATCTTCTGGTGGCATGCTACGATCATTTTTGCAGGAACACAGTGCGAAGCAAAACGAATTGGCAGCGGGTCATTAGCAGAGACGCCTGTTAATCATGATGCCGAAGTAACGTGTAACAACGGCTCCTACAAGGCATATGACGCTAAGGCCACTTGCACCAAGACTGGCTGGTCCTACTCTGAGCCCTTATGTCCACCAGGTAAGTATCAATTGTGCAACTGGGGTTCGTCATGCCAGTTGCACTACTAGTCTAGGATGGTTGTGTTAAGCGCAGATGTGCTTCTAATACGATGCCACCGTCTATCACCACTTTTCAGCCATCGTTTCGTGTGGACTGATTTCCCACGTTCCCAGTGTATGGTGGTCAGCTTTGAGCACTGGCATATTTCCTGAGTACTCGGCCCATATTTTTTTGGATTTTCCGTTTTGTTGCCCTTCGCGTATGCCACTGGTGAAAACTACTACCCGTACTGTATTTTAAATTGCTGAACACTGGAGAAACATTATGCTCACAATGGAGTATTTCGTAAAATAATATTCTTTATACCCAGCTCATATTAACCCCACTAATTCCTTTGATCTACAACTGGTGAATATATCTCCATATTCACCACTTTAACGTGGGGTACAGTCAACTTCGCTAATAACGACTGCGGATTCGCGAATAACGACAGAATTTCCATGCCCAGAGCAAAGTTCCATCCAACTGTATTAAATACATAATAATGAGACTTCGGGTATAACGACACTTCGCGAATAAGGACACTTTTTTGATGCCCGCCGAATGTCGTTATAAACGAAGTTGCTATATTACCCACTTAGAGGTTGTAACTTTTCAACTTTCAAGGGACTTAGAAATTTCCTCTCCAATTGAAAAAGAAAAAAATTGAAGAGAAGAAAGAAGTTTCAGCAGGAATCGAACCTGCAACCATAAGACTCCCAAGCACCTATCTTGACCACCCAGCCACCAAGGTGTTGATGCAGATGTTGGTTGAAAGATACGTCTTAGGTCTGGAACACGCAATGCAACCTACACATAATAGTATACTATAGTATACTGGGATACTAAAATAGCTATTTCGGACCAGTATTTCAGGCCAAAAACGAAGCTAGGTATAAATAGAATAAACACCTCTGTCTTGGGTTTATGGGAATATAAACACTGTCTATAAAACCATCGGCTACGCCTCGTTTTTTATAGCAGTGTTAATATTCCCTTAAACACTACGACATCGGTGTTTATTCCATACGTAAATGGGGTAATATGTTTAAAAACCACACATAATGTGTGTAGTGCATGAATACATTCCGTCGTCATCTCCAACCAAAATGCCTTTGGGTTGTCCTAATTTCATTTCATTTTGTGCTCTTTGTTCTTCTTGCTGGACCTCGTGAAGATAACCCTATTGTATGTAACTGGTACAACGTAAGCATCCATTCGGACCCAGCGCTATACGCAGATGCAAATAGTGAGTGTGAACGCCGCGATGCAACGCTATTAACGCAACGATCCTATGGTGCATTGAAACAGTCCCAGTGCTCCAAGGTAGGCCTCACATGTTGGTCTAGAAATAGAAAGTCAGATAATTGATCTTTGGCATAGACAATTGTCTGTGTGTGCGTGTTTGTGAGTGTAAATACATGTGTGGATGTGTGTGCGTGTGTGTGTGTGTGACAGAGTGTGTGTGTGTGTGTGTCTATGGATGTGTGCGTATGGATGCGTGTGCATATATACTCTATGTGTGTATGCGTGTAAATCTGCGTGTGTGTGTGTGCGCGCGCGCGTGTGTGTGTGTGTGTGTGTGTGTGTGTGTGTGTGTGTGAATCTGCTTGTGTGTCAGAAAATGACTATTTTGTGTGGACAATCGTGAGTGATTGAGTGTTTGCATATGGGAGTGTTTGATAGTAAGTTTTGTGCACAAAAAATGGTATGTGTGTACGGCAATGCGAGACTGTGCGTATGAGTGAAATCGAAAATTTCGGAGCACCAAGTAGCATTTATTTATCGATGAAAGTGCACATGCCTGTATAGAACAAGAAACAGCAACAAGGAAGAACATTATTGGATTACAAAAGCCATGAACATGTGTACGCACATTTGTGTGAGTGCGAGAAATCCCCTGTAAATTGCCAGAAAAGTGACGTTTGAGTGAATGATCCCCAACCATGATCTGTTCTAATCTTCCGAAGGCTAAAACATATAAAGCTCTGCCTTAGAAGGAGAACAATTCATGATGAAGTTAGGTTGTGTGTAGGGCTGCTCTCAACAGCACTCTGATCTGGACATCGTAAAAGGTTTCTTCTGTAAAAGTGAAAACCTAGCTTGAAGTGTATTTTGTGAATGTATGTGTGCGTGTGTGCGTGTGTTCGTGTATGTGTGTATATGCACACGGGTGTGTATTTGTGTATGTATGTGTGCGTGTACGCGTGTATTCGTGTATGTGTGTATATGCACACGGGTGTGTGTTTTATGAATTGCACTTCATACAGTATATCATGTCTGGGCTAAAAATTCACAATTTGGCAACCACCTGGGTAAAGACATCACCTTCAACCGGTGTTGTTTTCACACTGGAATCGGAAAACGTTAGCACAGGCCAATCTGCTAGCACCTTTTTTTGTGCTAAAGGTAAGCTAAATTGCAGCTACGGTCATAGTACAGAACTTCGTACATCTTTACAATGTGCATAAGGTCTATTGAGTTTATTGTTATCATTCTTGGTTTCTCACAATAGCTCGGACGTAAAAGAGAACTAGGAATGCATGGCCTTGGCCCTGGGGCAGATTTTGTGTTTTGCAGAGATGGAAAAAAACGGTCATTACACAATAAAAGGCTGTTCCATGTGCAACCTGCCAGAAAGTGCATCCTCTGAAAAATGCCCTTTTTGGGGAAACGTGATTACTAAGGAGCCACTAAGATTTGAGTATGGATTCTGCAGAGATTGGAGCAGGCAATACTATTACCGATCCAGAAGGCGAATAGTGTCTGGCAACACTAGCGAATCTCGACACGTCGACGAGGGCTCCAAGAAGAGTTGCCTAAAGCAATGATTTTCAGAGAATGTTGTGCATGCAGGTCCGGTACAAAGAAGACGGGAGTTAGGTAATTGCCATTGTTACAATGTGGCGAATGGAGAATTTTTTTGATAAAAGGAGCCAACTTTGAGCGAAATCGGAAATCTGGCCATGTCCGGTTATAGTTCGTGGTTAAAGACGTTGACTCTTAACCCTTTGAGGACCGGGACCGTGTGTGCCTGAGCACTTTGTTTCTGCACGTTTCCCGCTTGGTTCCATGATAAACTAGCCCTGGGCTCGCGGAATGTAAAAAAAACCATTTAGCTCCATCCGTGTACGGAGAGTGGATTGGCGGCTAGAAGATCATTTTATCTTACGTGTGAGGCTGCAGCACATAAATTCTCAAAGATAATGTGCAGTGGCCATGGTAGCACAACTCAGCTGGCGAAGTTTTGCCACCATTACGCTTTCGCCTTCGTTCCGTCGGGTTTTGCACTTCGCCTTAATAGCATTGCAACAAATTCCTCTAATTTTGATGTCAAAGTGTATCCCAATTTCAAATTTGGACTTCACGGATTATTTTCAAGTATTGGGAAATTAGAGGCCACATGCCACGTACTGCTCTTTTCTCTCCGAAACTCAACACTTGTGACTGATGATTTTTTCTTGCTTTCATATCTGGCTTGCAAGTCTTGAGTTTCGGATAGAAAAGAGCAGTACGTGGCATGTGGCCTCTAATTTCCCATTAAAGTTTATCCCAGTTCTCAATATTCAGTAGTCCGATGTAATCATGTGTATGCTTGGTTTACGACGCAAAGAAACCGTATCCAAACTATTGACCTTTCTGGCATTATATTAAAAAGTGTTTTCTTAATTCTAAAAACATCCAGAATAATAATTCTGAAGAAAGTCTGAAGACAAATGGTGAACAGTCTCTGCTGGGATGACGACTACACCAAATTTCAGAGGTTAGAGCATCGCTGGCTACGAGCGAGGGTCCCTGGTTCGAGTCCTGGTGGTGACAGTCAATTTGTTCTTCAGACTGTACCCGTTTGTGTCTTTCCCTCAAACCAGTGAGTAATAATAAATAATACTACAAGTAATAATAAAGTGTCTTTCAGCCCGTAGTGAACGTGAATGACCGTGTTTAAAACTTTAATGCAAAATTCATTTAGGTATCATTTCACACCATGGTTACCCATGATTATGGTGCACTGGATGCATTCTCAATGTACCGGTATTCGCAATTAGTCTAGAATCTCTAGATTTGGTTTGTGCCGTCTTCAGATTCGTAAGATAGATAACCATTTTGACGACTATAAATCGTGTGTTGTTTTCTATATTGCATGCGAGATAGATCGAAATGAATGTGAGGACTCACCAGATGTTTGTGATAAAAGTTTCACGTGTGAAAACACCGTTGGAAGTTACATATGTGGTCGTAAGTGTCGCACGAATGTGGTTATTCAGATCAACGTTCAGTTTTGTAATTTATCACTCTCTTTCACTTCTTTGGTTTCCTGGAGTTCCTGGTTGTTCCACTGGGGAGGGAAGGGGACTCATGTGCCATTTTGGCATCAGGGATTTTATACGTTGTTTTACCTGCCTTTGTAGTGGAAAACTTGTTAGCGCCATCTAGGCTGGGCCCGACCCCATGACGCAGATACTACGATAAATTAGAGCATTGCCCATTGCTCAAGACAAGTAAGGTCCTGAGCTCGAGTCCTAGCGATTCTTTCTCTTTTCAAGCAGTTCACATCCTTGACTTACTATGCATTTAATTTTACGTTTCCAGATTTTTCCCCAAAAATAGGTTTCATAATTATCATAATTTTGGGAACAGGATAATCTCTTTCTCTCTCCTCGGATAGCAAGCCTCCCTTTGCCAACAGGGAAATGTTACTTCCACAACATAGGGTATATTGCAAGATACTGAACCTATTTTGTTCGCAGGCATTTTCTCTTGCCCGTACATCAACTGAACGAAAGGTTTGATTGACAGTATGGTTGCGGACAATCTGGAATGTTTTTGAAGAACCTCAAGTTTTTAAACTGATTGAAATGGCCTCGGATGTTGAGCCGTTGGTAATTTATAGAGAGAAAACGACCAATATGATACGAGTTATGACGAACTGTCCACCTAGGTAACGAGATATTATACATGCACAGTCAGATAGTGCGACAACAAGGGATAAACTGACAGGGATATTGAGACATTCGACGATCTGACACCTAGCTACAGCACATCTACGAAGCGCAAACCAACAACCTTCAAACTTGGAAGACTCAGGTGTGGAAAGTTCCAATGAGGCGAAGGAAAAGTGCCACGAAAATTTGCACGAGTTATGTTCATCGGAAGCAAGGAATGTCGAGCGATACGGGATGATGATGACGAGACTAGTAGGAACATTGGCGAACGAGTATAATTATCAAACGAAAATACAAGGCAAGAGACCACCCAACTTGAGAGGATCAAAGGTATGTAAAAGTATTACTAAAATACACATAGAAGGGAAGCTTAGCAAAGTCAAACTGTCACAAACCGAAAGCCATTATCCTACGAAACACGTATTTCTGCTTTGAATAATTTTGACATAACCGTGTCACTAAGAGTCGGAGTAGACCGCCAATAGTGCATGGCTTGAGATCGCTTCCGGGTTTCAGACATTGAACCCGAAAGACGTATTATTTGGACCAGTTGAAAGCGGCGTGAGGAACGTAGGGAATTTGCCATAACAATTGTCTAGAATGGCCTATTTACCTTCTTAAAAGTAGTCGGTGTTGCAGTTTGTTAATTAGTACAATGATGCTGCCTGATTAGCGTTGTGCCAAAGCTAGTTTGATGCATTTTATATTTTTCATCGTTCCTATTATTGTTCTTCACATTACATTTCCATTACAGTGACTTCTTTGTCCAACACCACTTTACATCTCAATAAAACCTTCGTAACATGTCGCTTCAGCTGATTCTGGTAATTATTATTATTATTATACGCACGTCAGCGTTTACGTTAACAGTAAGTCCACGTATTCGCATGTGCCAGAAGACATGCAGAGTGGGCAGAGAGGAAAACAAAACATAAATGTAAAAACTAAATGTAAGACAGCAGGCGATGGGCACATAACTCATGTTCGATAATAGGTGCTCAATGCACGGGATCTATTTGAAAGATCAAAAAACAAAACAAGAATAACAGACAACGACGAAAGGTTCGTAAATCACGGTCGATGGTAAGTGCTAAATGCACGGGATCTGTACAATGCCTCTGTCCCATCCGTTAGTTACAGCGTACATCCTGGCTCGCGCAACGCAGGCCTGTCCGCGGCGATGGCCCGCAGGTGCTCCAGGTCTGCCAAGTTCCTCAGACTCCTCAGTCTTGCTGTTAATTGCGATCATAAAAATATTGTATACAAGTATTTTGTCCAACACTAACGGTTATAAGCAGAATACTGTTGACTTAAAAATGTGCAACAATTGGCTCAAAAACTGACTGATGAGATCCTGACATTCAAAGACCTGATGCTTAGCTGCTGGTTTTCGCATTCTAGACGTGATGCAGCTAAGCATCAGGTCGTTGAATGTCAGGATCTCATCGGTCAGTTCTTGAGCTAATTGTTGCTCATTTTTGACTCACCAGTATTCTGCTTATAATCGTTAGTGTAGGACAAAACGGATAACTTGTAAACATTTGTTCCTCTATTTTAAAGGGGAACTCCGGTCCAAAATCACCCCCATTTTTTATTGCGGAATCCATTAGAGTATGTCGTAAGTGGTAGAATGGCGAAAACCGGAAGCTTCTACGACAAGGATAACATACCTAAATTACCAATTGCAATTTTCCATATTTGGCACGAGGGGGCCCCCGCCCACCCTGTGACGTAAAACGTTCTCAGTGACCTCCAAATTTTTTTATTCAAACGGTAGACCTGCAGAAATTTTGAAAAAGGTATTCACTGTTTTTTCTTCAATCAATAACCCTTGTAGACCTACTAGTATTCATTCGATCATCATGTTGGAGGAAGAGGAGACCACGGGAGGTGTGGAGGTGGACGCCACTTCGGATTCAACAACACCGAGGCCTTTTAGGTTCGAGCCGAAGCGCGCATCATATCAGCGTCTGCGAAACTGTCTACAAGTAATATTTCTGAGACTACAAAACAGATGAACGTGAAGAGAACGCTTTGGTTGCAAGTGCTCGCGTGAGAAGCACTGCTTGATGCCGTTGCGGACAATGCAGCATGATGTGGAGCGAGGTCGAGTCGACTTGTTGCTGGGAGGTTCCTTCAGCTTTCAGTAAACGCGGCGAGCAGGAAGGGCTGCAGTGCGTCACGCAGCACTCAGAGTTTGCTGTTGTTTGCCTGCAAAAATCAGTGCTCGAGGTGGCATTGCTTTCCTTCGAAGAATTTCGGGCAAGGTGTGGACCGTGGTCAAACAGGTGAGGATTCACTAAATCGGTTTCATTATTTCCTTTCTTTCCAAGTTTCATGTACCGGTACAAAGTAGATGGGAAGTGTTTTGCAATGATTTTGTGTACAGTATTCAAATTCACCAACTTCCATCACACAATCATGAAGTTCTATTGCACCCATGCCAATATAATTATACTGGTACAACGATGTCTTTCATTCATACTATTCCTAGCACTGTAAGTGTTTCAACTGTGTGTTAAAGTGATGTAAATTTGAAAAAAGGCCAAAGTGTCTTTAGTATAGTAGCCCATAGAAATATTAACTCGAATCCGAAACTATTTACACTGAAACTATTTACTTTTACACAATCATGAAGACACTCGTGGTATGTGTATCTACATCTCTCCAACTGTTTTGTGCAGGATTTGGAGACATGTGGCGTATAGACAATACACATGGTTCACCCATGGATACTTTGGACGCAAGCAGCGGCGTGTGATACCGTCTTGCGTGGTATCGAAGATAAAGCAGCTGTACCAGAAGCCAATGCAGATGCGCACTGGGGCTTTGAGGAAGCAGTTGGACATGATGATGATGATGATAATGCTTCTTGGCCTGGTTGACGTTCACATAATCATTGGTACATGTGCATGCAGAATGTAGAAAACAGTTGACAGACACGATTTATAACTATTCTCGACTCGGGCAATATTTGTGTTTTCGGGTGGGCGCATGCTTTGCACCAATGCAGCTGCATGAACAATCTGGTAAAGTTGACAGATACAATGGCACAAGACTGTACTGTATTCGGGAGCATGGGGTTGTGCCGGTGCCGTGTGCCGTTGCGAATGCCGAGAATGGTTGTATGCACATCGTTCAACAGGTCCTTCAAGAAGTTGCAGGACATTGTCGTGCAGCTTCTTGGCCACTTTGTGCTCTTGGTGTATTCCAGCCTGTACCTGAGCACACCCTCCTTGGTTTTGGCGTGCGCTCTCCCTATATTGGCATTGTGGGACAGACATGCCGACTGTACCCGTGCTCTCATGCCATTGAGTGGACACGTTTTGGTGCCCACTTCAGTATGACAGCATGGAAAATTTCCAGACTACAAATCATACTGTACCTTGTATTTGTGGCAGTGTAGCTGCAACCGGAAAGTAACGCAATGGAAACTTACAGATAAAGAGAACCGAAATAACACACATGATAACGTTCCATGTACATTACATCAATTCTCGACTTCACTGACTAGGATTTTGAGTAGAGGACTTTGAGTAGGACTGTAGTCGTTTAGAGCTACGTTCTGGACGGCACAAAATCATGCCGTTCACTTACCTCATCGTGCTCACGTTCCTGGAAGTAAATCGAAGATGGTCTGCTTTTGCTGGCAGCAGAGGTAGAGGAGCTACTAACTACTAGTATTAGTATGACATGCACCGCCAAGTTTCAGGATGGCAGAGACCCTGGCTTCAAGCGTCGCTGCTGCTTCTGCTTATAGCCACCAATGCTTTGTGCAAACTCTTGTTGGAAATCTCTTTCATAGCACATCTCAGTGAAATGCTCAGTGCAGACACGATTATTTTTCGTCGGAGAAAACTCCTTCCAACATACTCTCCATAGCCAAGCTGTCGTCAGGTTCGCGTCAGCCAGAGGAAAGCCATGCTACGACAGCCCGCAGGCGCCTCTTTCTTCGTGACATTGTTGCATCCAGAGACGCAGCAGCGAGTCGTGACAATAAATCGGGCATGGCACAGAACAACAAGCACTTCAACAATGGCCAAGGACTTTTCATTCTTGCTTCAATTATTTGAAAATTTCATCTGAGTGGACCGGGCTGAGAACGTTTTACGTCACAGGGTGGGAGGGGGCCCCCTCGTGCCAAATATGGAAAATTGCAATTGGTAATTTAGGTATGTTATCCTTGTCGTAGAAGCTTCCGGTTTTCGCCATTCTACCACTTACGACATACTCTAATGGATTCCGCAATAAAAAATGGGGGTGATTTTGGACCGGAGTTCCCCTTTAATTTTAATCCGTGGCTCTCCATCCGAGTTAAATAAAATGTTGTGTTATGGTGAGAAAAGGAGGACAACATGTTACGAGTTATGGCTAACTGTCCACCAACGTCGCACTCGCTGACTGTATAAGATCTGGTTACGTAGGTGGACAGTTAGTCATAACTTGTAACATGTTGTCCTCCTTTTTTCACCATAATTTCATTGGCTCACCATCCGAGTTGGAAATATTGTGAAAGTTTTTTTCCTGTAACAACATGTCCGTTCCTCCGATTGAAATATTCGCCTTCTGAAGGTGCTATTTCACCTTTCTAAAATGGCCTCTTCACCTGTAGTAGTCATCAACACCCTCCAGGCGACAGCTGCGGAGAGTTCCTTTTAGTCACATTCAGTTTTATCCAGACAAAGTGAGACGATGACAATCATGAATCTATGGTGCTTCTAATTGGATTACGGAAGGGGCAGCAGGTGAGCATATGACACATTCCTGCTCGACAATAATCCAGCAGGAGATACCTTCTCACAACTCATTAAGTTCGCACTAACCATGGAAATGCCTGGAGTGTGGCATGCGATAATCCCGAAGCAGAGGAGATTCGTTGCCTGGAGCGGGGTATGAGGCGCTTGATTGATATATATATGGAGGATTTGGGAGGAAATGATGTTGAACAGAAGATTATGACACGCCTTCCTAAGTATCGTGCTTTGAAACATTTCCACAAGGATGGACCCTGCCGCTGCAAGGACAGCCACGGAAGGCGTAGCAAGAATTTTAAAATCTAATGTAAACAGTATCGGCAAGACGTCACAGGAAGAACTTTACTGCCCCATAAGCAATTATTTCACTCTGTAATATGAAATGGAAAAACATTGTTTCGAGAGCAACGCTCATTTTTTTAAGGGCTGTCTCGAATTATATTTTTGGTGCCATGATTTTGTGTGTATTGCAGGGCGTAAGTGCCTCGGCCAGTCTGTGCGGAATGGATTTGTGAAGAGCACGTTTGTAAACCATGAAATTCAGGTTTCGTGTAACGCCGGTCATAGCACCATATTCAAGGCTAGGTGCACGGAAAACGGATGGAAAGCAACGAACGTCGCTTTAGGGATATCAGAATCTTATAGTTTCGAGGAGATTACGGCATGTTTCAGTAAGTTGTCCATGCAGAGTTTCACTAGAATAACAGGTTTATTGCATTGGATCGGTATCGTGGAGGGTTGGTGACTCGTTGCCAACTCAAGCACGAAACAAGATCGGTTATGTTTTGTTTTCGTATCGTTCAAACAAAAAAGTAAATTACCGTGTCCATGCCCGAAGCGAACACACGACGGCGGCTAACACCAGGTAAAACCTAGCGACAGATGCAACGCCTAAAGATGGGGATGAAGGGCTACGTCTCATACCCACTGGCACAAGTGCCGAGAAATCCCATTAGCCACATCCATGTGCCCCTTGTGCCTGGCCACAAGTTCCCAGTTGCCCGTGGTAGCAGCCTGGCTGCTACCCAGACGACAGCAAAAGGAACATCAACACTGAGACAACAACAGAAACACAGGGCAGCATCGTGTCTCCTGTTTTGACATTGGGTTTTACTCAGTTGGGGTAGTGCAGATCTACTAACTTCACTGTGCTAATAATTGTAATGTCATTTTTTCTGACAGCAACTTAACCAAAGCTCAGAGGTTATAGCATCCCTGGCCTCAGGCGAAGGTGCCTGGTTCGAGTCTTGGTGGTGATAGTCAATATTTCGTCCCGTTTGCTTTTTTTTCTTCAAACCAGTGCTTCTTTTGTGACTTTGGGCTCCCTGTGTGCCATTGTCTACATGAACAGTGTGGGATAGAGTGAGGACTGTGTCCTATCCACCTGTGACTTCAAGGAAGTGTGAGTTACGAAGTCTGAAGAAACTGTGAACGGTCTTTGCTGGGACGGCAGCTACACCATAGCTCATTAGTTAGAGCATGGCTTGCCTCAAGCATAGGTCTCTGGTTCCAGTCGTGGTGGTGACAATTAACTTTATCTTCAACCCTTTCCCGTGTCTTTCCCTCTAACCCGTGAATGTTATTTTTCTGATCACCTTTCAATCGCACAGCTCTGCTCTGGTGCTACGGAATGAATGTACCTCATGGTCGGATCATAAGCGTGCCAGATTTCACCTACTGTACTCCTGTATGTGACAATGGATATCTTCCCCTCCGTCGACATTACAGATGCGGCTTACTATTACAGTATCCTCCCAAGTTCTCGCCACAATATCCGAGAGATGGCTGTGTCTCAA